CAATGGAAGGATCTTGCTCGGGATCAGGAGTATTGGCGGGATTTGGTATTTGCGGCAATGAACTTTTGAGTTCCTAACACCATCTAATAATAATAATAATAATATATATATATATATATATATATATATATATATTATTATTATTATAAAATAATATTATAATAATATATGCATATTATAATATAAAAAGTGTGCGTTCTGTATCACAAAATGGAAGGCTAAGATCGATAAGTTTTGTTCAAAACGTGAAATTGACAAAGAGATGTCTGATAAATTAATAGAATGCTCACTATGCAAATCAAAATTTGTGTTTTAAAATATGTAATGTATAAGTTCTATTGTAGTGTTACATAAGCATCACCAAGCATACTGCAAACAAATTTGATGTCACACTTTAAAGAGCTTAATGTTCGTTTCGCTTTCATTTACATATCCAAAACAATATTAAATTTGACTTAATATCCATGTATGTAATTGCATAAATTGACTTAAAGAAACAATTTCGTGTACGCCATTTTTGCAATCGTCCGTACCTGCGTTGATTCTTTTGTCATGACATATTCCGCTTTGCGGGCAAGTTTATGAAAGTTCATTTATCTACAAGCAATAATTTTCACTTTCTTTCTTTTTTTTGAGAATTATCTCTTCCATCATTCCTCTAGTATGCCAATTCTTAGAGTGCGCCTTTTTCTAATTCTATATAATACCCGAAATTATGTAAAAAATGATAAATTATAAAATATAACAAATGATAAATGAACTAAGCTTATAATAATAGCTCAGCTGTGAGTATATATATATATATATATATTTATCTCTCTCTCATTCTCACACGCATACAAATCGTCCTTTACATGAAACATACATACTACAAAACTACAACAATTGGTTTATAACTTTTGCAATCGAGTACAAAAGTATGAAAACCTACAGTATGATTGCGATAATCCCTATCGAAAAATTTTATATCTCTTCATGGTAAAAAAGAAAGAAAGAATAATTTTGAAATTAACTTAAATGTTTTATCTTAATATATATTCGTTTTGAATTGCTAAATATTAGAGAGGGAATGAATGTACGCAGGCAGAAACGGCCAGATGGACACAATTGTCACGTCGACAGTGTCGATTTTCTTTCGTATCGCCACTATCTTATCGGTAAAATATTTACTTGTCAATGTTGAGTTTCACTGATGACTTGCACCCCATCCAACTGCTTTTTCTCGCTCCTGTCATCATCTTTATCCGGATTATCCCATACTTGCCTCTGCCCAGAAGCGCAAAATACATAGAATGTTGCACATATTATGTAAATAACAGCGCAGATTATGAATACAATCCTCCATTTCGCTTGCGTTGGCTGAAAAATAAAACAGTAATATGTATATTATTATTTGATCACAATTCTAATCACTTAGCGGTTTTTTTAACAAGATAATTTTAATTACCGAATCATCGATGATCAGTCCAACAGTGATTGGCGCGAGAAGCCCAGCGAGATTGGCAATACAATTAGTAAAGGACATTAAAAGTCCGGCAAATCTCGGTGAGATATCGAGATGATTTACTTTAAAACCGGAATAAATAGCGCCATTCAGACCGACTCCCACTGTGATAATGGCTATGGTTGCCGAGGGATTGCAACCGGTGTATGAGGCAGCAATCAGCGCCACGGCCGGTGCATATTGGCCGATACTGTTGATGATCTTACGGGTCAGTGTATGAGAGTATTTTCCTGAGGAAATCATCCAATCGGCGACATGAGAAATAAATATAGAAAAAAGCCACATGGCAAGATATGGAAGTGAAGAAAAGGCACCATTCTGAAATACAAACAACATTATAAATCCCATTTGAAAACTATTAAAAATTGTTTTTCTTGAATATCTTGTTCACAAATAATATTTACTTACGTTTTTAATGCTAAAATGGAGAATCTGTTTCATGAATGTCGGAAGTTGGGTCATCAGCGTCTCATATCCGTAATTCTGACCCATGTGCGCCATCAAGATAGCCCAGAATGGTAGCGAAGTTACAATGGACTTCCATGGCACGGGAGGCGATGACTAGAGAGAGAAAGAAATAAGAAATTGAGTTGCAACATTCGATCGGTTACATCGTAAGAAGATGAAAAAATGAGGAAAAACTCACCGATATGCCGGCGCTACCCCAAAGAGAACTCAGTATGTACTTTTTTTCATCCTCCGAGATAGATGGATGTTGCTCAGGATCTTCGTAGACCCATAAGAGGAACGCGATGCACCAAATGGTACCGATAGCACCAAATACGTAGAAAATAGATGGCCAACCTCCTACTAATTGCCAGTCGGCTAATAGACCGCTCAACGGCATGGAAATTACCGTGCCGAACTGTGCACCTATATGTCGGAAGGAAAGACAGGAATACAAAAAAAAAATATGATTAGTGATGGTTATCAGACGTCTGAAACTTACTTTGTCTCCAGACTATCTCTTTTTTTTTTTACCAATGAAAGAAAATCTTGTGAGAGAGATAGAATGGAAGACAAAGAGTTGTTAAAGTATAAAAAAGATAACTCGAAAAATTGAAAAAATCTGGTCCACAAGTTCCGTCACAGCAAGAAGCGCGCGCACACAGTAGCGACCCGATGCATCGAACTTGCTCCAGAGAGGAAGACACTCGCGCGGCGGATTAGCTCTCGACTTGGTACGCGCTCGATAAATCGCTACATAAATCGCACTGAACGAGCTTACCAGCATAGACGAAGGCACCCATCCTGCTCCGTTCGTTAGGCGGTATCCACTTCGCCAGCAATGCGTGCGTGCAAGGCACAATAGGACCCTGCAATAGGGATTAATCCATTCCTATGGGGGGAAAGGAAATACACCCGTACAATCAAAAAACGTTCACACTCAAACGGATCCAGTAATCCTTTATAAGCTTAAGACTAACACTACACGCTAATATCTCTATCTCTGCAAATAAACAGAGAGACTCCCTTAATTTTTTTTTTTATTAATCATAAAAATCTTTCAACATAACAGAAGAAGAGCTAAAATAAGGGCACAAGGACCCTTGCAATGTGAATGTATATCTCTTTTTATCAAATTTTCCAATGTAATAAATTCAAAATTATATACTTACGAGAAAATGAATGAAACTTCTGTTTGCAAATAGCAATAAGTATATGTACTCAAATAATAGATAACCGATCCCGAAACATCACACATTCTCATCTTCGCTCTCTCTTCTTGAGTCTCAATCAAACTATCGTGTTACTATAGAACATAGTAAAGGATTCGAAACATTACTTACCTCTCCTAAACCCTGGATAAAGCGAATGGTCATCAGCCACCAGTATCCCCAATACGCGGACGCGGGGACCAGAAGTCCGAAAATCGAATTGATCAGCATGCCAATCCCGAGGAAGTATTTGGCGCCGTAGCGCTTGGCGAGTATACCGAACGGTATCTGCGTGATAACGTAGCCCCAGAAAAACGAGCTCAAGAGATAACCTTGCTCCTTATTGTTCCACGAAAAGGGTCCATCGGCACTCTGTAAGGGCGAAAGACTATTTATGTAAGCGTATTCTCGAGATTCTATCTTTCTCTAAACTCTCACACGCGCTATCTCCTCGGATAGAGGAAGAATCGTAAAACTTTATGTACTCACACGTTTGGCAGCTTCCGTTTCGTTGGTAATGAGATCTCCGCACTCGTTCACGACTTCTTCCACCTTCTCGGTGTCCTGGATAGACGTATGATTGACCATCGCGACGATAGCCACGGACATGTTGGTCCTCATTATGTAGGCATTTGCCATACCAAGGAATATCATAAATGTCACTATATGACGTTTCCCCGTCAGAGCTGAAAAAAAGAGAACATAAACTGTCGTTGCGTGCCACAAATGCAATATTAATTATGAGACAGATGAAACGCCGCGTAATAAATCTCATATAATACTTCTTTATACATTCTTAAAAACGCATAAAATTCGTATCTTTAATTTTTTTAGTCAATTTTTCTTCTATAGAAATTATTTTTAAAATTATAGCAGGCTATTACATATCTATTAAAATTTTTGGATATATTTATTTAAAATATGTACGTAATCAAGCATCAAAATAAAACTGAGAAATTAAAATTAAATTAAATTAAATTAAATTTTAATTTAATTTGTTTTTTAAATTTAAATTAATTTTTGGAATCAGTTGAGAGAAATATCGATCCCGGATTAATCGTGGAATCGGAAGTTGTAGAATCTATCATTATGTTTGCGGGCAAATAACGTTTTGAAATGCTTTGTATATTATCTTGAATGTATAATTTTATAATAATTTTAAAATACACGTGTCTTCTAAATATGATTGTGATAAAATCGAATGAAAAATATAACTATGACATCGTTAATTGGCGCTCTTAAGATATTCGCCGGAACATGTCCTGTCATCGCGTATTAGCAGATACTCTGCCAAATTTTCACGGAAATAACCGAAGGACGAATGGCGGGACCAATGCCGAGGTGAGGGTTACGCCACATGGACATATCTATGAATAAAAATTTTTTTTTTTTTTTTTTTTTTTTTTAATTTTAGAGCTAATTTTTTCATTTTGACATATTCAAACTTACGGCCAAATATTAATTCTTAATCTTGAAAGAGAGATTGATGTCATTTTGTAATTTATATAATAAATAAAGAAATCCTTTTCAGAAGATATACATACGTATATGACATTTCTCTTTATTCATAGTCAAATCACAGCATGAATTCCAGACATGAAATCGGCTTGAATTTCAGAGTGTTGAATCGACAAAATTCGCGCGTGTTTCATGCGAACTCTGGGAAATTTTGTCACGCACGCAACAGGTGAGCTTAATATGCGACAATCAAATGAAAAATATGAATCATTAGATCGTAATCGGGTGTGTTATGTATATACAGCCATATATAAGTGTCGTTGCTGCTTTCATTGTTGACAATTACCAAGAATTGGCGCTCGTGCGCGGATTATGCGTACACAAGAGCAAAGTACATAAAAGAAGTCTAATAATACAATCTATGTATATCAATAAACCACGAACTCTCTATACGTCGCATTTAATCAAAGTCGATGTAAAAAGCTTGACTTTGTCATCGATGAATTACGTTATCAACATATAATTGATCATTAATTAACGCCGCAAATAAGACGTCCAAGAAGCGCTCGTGCATATAATTCCCATTTGTGAACACACAAATGTCGTGGCAAGTTTCCGTGGAAGGAAAACATTAAAGGTCACTGCACGGGACGGTCTCGATACAGTAATTTTCCACGCTAGTTCGAAATCGTGTCGGCTATGATATAATTTAATATATATAACTAATAAAGCATTATTTCGGATTCGTATTGGTTTTTTCCGCTTAACGTGTGCATGCTAATAATCACACGTATTACGTCATGCGTTATCGATATCCTTATCAACCCTCTTTCTTTTTTAGCATAAGCTGTAATGTAATATATCAATCTACTGTAACAAGATACCTAAGCCTAAGATAATAAGCGCGTAATAAATACACACACACATAATTCGTTGTAATATTCTTACTTTATATTAAATATAATTATACTAAAATATAATTCTTGTCGTATATTTCAGAAAAAATTAATAATCAATTTAGATAAAAAGATCTGAATTAAAATTAGAATAAATATTTCTGGTACTATCTGTCAATTATTGCTTGCACAAACTACTTGATTGCCAGACGATTGCTATTTAAAGATTGTTGCGTTTTGCTTCGATTGAAATGGCTGATTGACCGTTATACGAATGAAAAGTTCATCTCTTTATCTAATTAATTTCAAATAAATGTTTGTAAATGCAATCGATTCTGTAAGACTGCTGCGATAAACTTCTCGAAAAATATTTCTCGAATTATCGTCACAGTAAAGCTAACAACGTTAGCAAAGAATTACGAAGAGAATTAAAAGTTCTTATTTAAACAAACCGACAAAAAATACATCACAATTGTTTATATTACTAATTTAACGCAGTGAGTCATATTTTATCGCATATAACAGATTACGTAATCGTTTATTTTGGGAAATAAGTTTTGCTAACTACACGTTTTTACACAGCATATCATGTGTACCTTAATTACATAAAAAAAATTAATTTCTTGAAAAAGCTCTATTTTATTCTTAGAAATAATTCGATTCAGTGTATTTTATTTCCTTTTAAATTTTCATTCTGATACGTTTAACTGAATAGAAGATAGATAATATTTAAACGTCAAAGATCAAAATTTTATAAAATAAAGCTGACTCTTTTAACTTTTTTTTGAATGAAGCCTAATTACTGATTCTTTTGAACGAAGCATAATTACTGACTCTTTTGAACGAAGCATAATTACTGTAAGATTTTGAAAAACACGAAAACCGGTAACGCTTCGCGAATAGAAGTGCTCTTATATACATATATCATCTTATTTTACACTCCGTGTGTATACGTGTACCTTGTCTTACGTTAACTTTTATGTGTTATGTTAGCAATTAATAAGAGTTAGCAATTACTTCGAGACTACGTCATAAAACAAACGCGATTCCTCTTTTCTTTCTCTCTCTCGTTCCCCCTTGTTCGATGTTACGAAATTCCTTTACGATTACACTCGACTTGTTTCTCTTATCACGTTCTGAGATTAGCGCCGTAACGTGTTCTCCTAAGAACCAAGTAAGATACAAAGCGAACGATCGGCGAAGAATTGACGAAATGCCTGTCGTGTGTTGGATTCATTCGCCTTAATTCACGCAAGTATTTCTAGGAATAAATTTCGACGCTTATACTCGCTCGCCGAACCAGCTTAAGTCGATTGACATCGGACGACATTACTGTTTTATAATCGACCAGTTCTCTTCGCCCACGCATAAATTATCCGAATCTACCACATTCCCTTCTCCCCTTCTTTTTCTGAGCCTGTTCTCGCCCAACATTGTCTTAAAAATCGTACTTGCGAAAAAATTATATTTAATTTAGATAAAAAAATTAAAATTAAAATTAGAATAAATATTTCTGATACCATCTATCAATTATTATTTGCACAAACTATTTGATATTAACGATTGTTATTTAAAGATTGTTGCAATTTGCTTTGATTGAGATGACTGATTGACTGTTAAGCGAATCAAAAGTTCATCTCGCACTCACTTAATGTTATTTATTATGAGAAAAGTTCGCAGTTTTCTAAGATGGATGTGAAACACACTTTTCTTACGTAAACTTGTGCTTGGTGACTTTAAATGCTATTTAAGACCGTATGTAATTTTTAAGTATTTTATGTAACATTAGAAAAACAGTTTCGTGTAAAAATAACTACTCATATATTTCTATGTTTTCTGGCTCAAACAAAAATGTGCTCGTTAAACAAACAAGATATACGACTTAAAGTTGGCCCCTTCGCATACATACACGTTTTACAATCAACAATTTTATGAAAGAAGTTGCGTGAGCGACTTATTGTTAGAAAAGGTGCGCGCGTGCAAGTATATATTGCGTTATATATATATATATATATATATACAGGGTGTCCCAAAGCACCCTTGACAACGCTTGTGAGCAGGTAGAGCACAGCAAACTGAACAGAAAGGTCCTGTACCATTTTTTTCTATAACGCTTAATAAAGGAGTTATTATTGAGTAAAGTCTG